ATTCGCCCACCCTGTCCTCGCACGGGAGCTCCCCCAGCCTCTGCCCATCTCCGTGGCTCCTCTGGACCCACTCCAGCAGAGATTGATCCCTCTGATGGTCAAGATGTGCCAATCTGGTGTGGGCTCATGTGGCTCTGAGTCACCGGTCCCCAGACCAAAGTGCTGGTGGGGACCTGGCTTGGAGGGGCTGCCCTTCCTGAGGAGGGGGCTGCATAGGTGCTGGTGCACACATTGAACCAAAACTGGACTCCCCAAAGACAGGCCTTCCCAGGGCAGCATGGCAAAGCCTGGCAGGAGCAAACCGTCCCCCCTGGGCTGCATGGCTGACCTCACTGTCCCCAAGGGACCCTGTGTCTACATGTGTGGAGATGTGCCCTTGGTTCTTAATGAGGACATCCCCACTCCTGATTTCCCCCTCCTCTTTCAGTGTCAATGTGGGGCTTCGGGACATGGGTTAGTGGGTTGGGTGGTGTTGGGTTGATGGTTGGACTTGATGATCCTTGAGGTCTTTTCCAACCTTAATGATTCTATGATTCTCTGTTTCTATGATTCCCGAAAGCCTCTAACCCAGACCTTGCCTTCTGTGCTAGGCGAGCTTAAGAAAAATCAGAACAACTGTATTAGCAAAGAAGGAGTGGGTGTTTCACCCTTCTCCCACCTTAGTGAAGGACTCCAGCAGGTAGTTGATGGTGATCCAGCCGTAAGCCCCCTCCTCCTCTCCTGTGAGGATTCGAGCCCCTTTGAAAGCCACGGGGTACTCTCGCATGGTTTTAGCAACTTCGGCCAGGACTTGGTCTGCGGCTGAGCTGTTCTGTTCCCTAAGAAGGACTCAGAGGTCAGGACATAAAACCAGCTACATCAGCACCACAGAGGAAACACAGGGAATCAGTCTGGTTTTTCCCAGTTCCACGTGAATTTTTTTTGCAACGAGCGGTTTGTGTGAAATGATGTTTCCTGCTACATAACTTGTCAAAGCTGCTTGTACAGCGTAAATCTCAGCTGTCCAGACTTGGCATCACAAATCTGGGAGAAACAGCCATCTCTTCCCTCCGGCTCAGCCTGATCTCAGTCACACGGAGGTTTCCCAGGCCACCCTCCCCAACCCAAGTATCTTCACAGCGCTGGAGGCCAGAGGGGGTTGTGCTGCCAAACCAAGGTGTGACCATCACCCGCTGGCGGCCCCAAAGCTGGGGCTGGCTGCTGGGCTCGCGTGAGTCTTTCAGGAAGGTGCCAGCCTGGTTTCAGACCTCTGAGTGGGGGAGATGTCTCGGAGCTGCTGGCATGTGCCCGCCCTCTGAAGCAAGTAACCTTCGGGTTGTGACCCGTCTCCTTCCCAGGGAAAGGTCTGATTGCCAGGGCGCAGAAATAACGTTAGATATCTGCAGCTGTAAAACCAAGAACCGTGAAATGAAGGCTGACATTTTAAGAGAGCTAACAGGGGCTGGTGAAAGGTAAGGGCAGGTCCTGCAGCACCCCGCTGCCTCCTACCTCTGCCCCCCTCCGCCGCCAGCACCCACCCCTCTGGGCAGATGGCACGTCCCCCGGTGGCACCTCAACTCCCTCGTGTTTCAGGGATAATAAAGAGCAAAGAAAGAGTTCTGAGAAGCATTTCTTGCTTGGAACTGGGCATGAAGCACCTTCCTGGGACATGGGGACCCAGGATGCCAACGGACACCCCTAGCAGCCTCTCTGCCGCAGGGCCAGTTGCTCAGGACAGCTCAGCCACCCACGTGTCCCCACCGGGCTGCCTCTCGCCACTCCCCAGGCACTCGCTCACAGCAGCACGAGAGCTGGGAGCTCCTGGCAGCCCAGCCCCGTGCAGGACACCGTCTCCTGGCTTGCAGCTCGGTGTAAAAGAAGTAACCGCTATTGTGCTTAGCAGAATCTATAAGATGAATAGTGGAATGAAGATTAGTCTATGGTTATAATTAATAGGACACAGGTGTTGTGGAACAATGCTATGAGCTGCTCATTTATCCTATGTATCGCCCCTGCCATGGCTGGCTTAAAACCCAGTCCAGCTGAGTCAACAGAAAATGAGTTCTATGTCTTAAGTTTAGAATATGAGAAAAGATAAGGAGTAAGTGATTAACCTAGAGCAAGCAATTTTGAAAGTTAGTTATTTTAGACTAGACATAGACTAAGTGGTGTTAATGGAACCACCTGAGTGATTCTTAGCAGAGGGACTGTGGGACTGCACCGATGGACACGAATTTCAAAAGAGGAACCGAAACGACACGACAGAGGTCTGCTGAGACAAAAGGAACTGAGTGGACTTGTGAAATCAGCGAAGAATGGAGAATTGAGAGTTTGGGAAAACCATCAAGAACTTTAAGAACTTTTCCAATCCAAACACCGGTTGCATAATGTCCTGTAGGACCATATATATAAAGGATGTTCTGAATGCACCTCTCGCCACTCACTGAGGTGACAGCCCAACTCTGAGCTGTTAATAAAGCCAACCTAGAGAAACCCACAGTCTGTCAAGTCCTTTAGCACTCGCTCACTGCTCCATCACCCCCGTGCCCCACAGCAATACCTCAGTAGCCTCATCCCTGCCGTTGCTCCAAGATAAGTGGGGACCTCGCTCTGTTTTGCAGCGGGAATGACCTTCAGGGCTTTCTCCAGGCACACTCTCAGGGAATCGCCGGCTTTTGGGGGATCACTGGCATAGCTTGATATGCCTTGTCCTGGAAGAAAGTCAGGCTGGGACTGGCTGATGGCAACGTCTGGGGACAGGGGTGTGGGAGAAAGAGGACATGGGGCAGCGAGGTCTGTCACCTCTTAGCATCAAAGGGTGCTTTGCCAGGGTTCTCCATTTCCCTGAGACCTGACTGACCCATGCTTATGTTCCTCTCCTCTGGCTTCCCCATGTCTCCCATGCTTTCAGCAGTGTCCCCAGCGCTATGGGTGAGAACTTCCCCAGCCAAGACGGCAACTTGGGCAGCTGGGGACAGCCCAAGGTGGAGGAATGAAAATCCAGAGCAACACCAAGGTGCTTCAGTCCCACCAAGCATGTGGGCACTACATGGTGCTGAGGGCCCTCCAACCATGGAGCGAAGCCAGAGGGGAGTCAGGGACCACCCTGCCTGGAGGCAGGGACCCCACCATGCCAGCAGTGACAGCCTGATGGTCACGCTGCCCAGCGTGGGCAGGTCACCAAGAGGGAGGCCAGATCATCCTGCCCACCACAGGAACAACTGAGCCCATGGCAGGGGGATACTGACCCTGGACATCACAGGACAAGGCCTGGCTGACCACACCGGTGTCGTTCTCCTTGTCCGAATCCCACTCGTAGACAAACAGAGAGGTGTGGGACGAGCCTGCGTCGAACACCATCCCATACTGGAATGAAAAAGCAAGACATCACAATGGCGGGAGGAGCAGCAGCCTGCCCCTGGCCCCACCATGGCCCTGCCAGGGTGGTGGGGCTGGAGGATGCCCCAAAAACCATCTCCCTGTGGCACAGCCACCTGCACCGTGGCAGAGCAGGGCGGTGACAGTGAGTGGCCTCAGCATGGGCATTTCTCATGGTAACTGAAGGAATTTTTCATTCCCTCTGCTGAGATCTGTGCAGCAATGCCAGCTCACACAAACATTTTCTTGGTTGTTTCCTCATGCTTTTTTATTTTCTTTCTGGGTTACATACCTTCTGTGAATACACCAGCCCCACCTTGGGGCCAGCAGCTCCCCCCATCTCCAGAGCTCCCTGCGCCCAGCCTGGGCAGGGACCGGCAGGGACACACCAGCCCCAGTCCAGGGGCTCCCAGCTGTGGGTCTCCCCCGTAAAGCCCTCCACCTCACCCTGACACTGTCCCAGCCCTCTTCCAGCAGCCAGGGTGGGATGCAACGCTGCAGGGGAGGGACGGGGAGGAGCTGCGATGCTCCTGCTGTGTGCGAGCGGTTGGGACAGGGGGTGGGAGGTGGCAGGTCACCCTGGGATGCGGTGCCCCGGGAGGGCAGAGGGAGTGGGGCAGGGCTTTGCCCTACCCATCCACCCCAAGGTAATCTCCTCGAAAATACACCAAGTGCATGGCGTGGTGGCTGGTTTCAGAGGTTTCCTTCCTGGACTTTGAGGTGCCCAGGCTGTATTTCTGCTCCCTGCATCTTGAGATGGGAAGAAAACACTCACCCAGCTACCCCAAGGCAGTTCCTACTGACGCCTCTTCCCTCCTAACCCCAAAGAAAAGCCGTTGTCTCTGAGCACCAAGGTGACGTGTCTCTGCAGCAGTGCTTGGGGCTGTCCTTGGGCTCACCTTGACTGCGGGTGGCAGAGGGACATCTTCAATCTTCACCAGGCTGAGAACAAGGGCAATGATGGAGAGTGCAACCAGCGCCCCGAGGATGGCAGTGGTGAGGGACTTCTTGTTAGCGACCATCGTGGTGAAGGCTCCTGCAAAGCCAAGCCCAGACACAGGAGAAGGAAGGTTGGACGTGGCCAGCTGGGACCAGTGCTGGTCAGGGAGAGCTGCAAGGAGCTCAGCCCCGAAAGCTGTCCCCAGGCTGACACTACCTCAAGATGTATAACTGAGAAATCCTGGTGGATAATCAGATCTTTCCCTGGGATAAGCAATATTAGGATAGAACAGAAGAGGCTGGAGGAAAGAGGGGCTGGTTGCCCAGCAGTCTGGCACAGCCAGCGCAACAGTCGTCCGGGTCCTGGACCCACCCCTGCCTGGCTCACTGCTGTTGGGACGGAGCAGGTCCAGGAGGAGCAAAAGAAACACTGCACCGGACAGAGGAGGGCATGGGAAACTGCAGAAAACCTCAACAGACAACACTGTAGAAGAGGAAGGGGATTTTATTTTACAAGCTGTAAGTAAGGTCAGCTCACCTGCTGGCACTCCCAGACGGGTGTGCTCAGAGCTGGCTGGCAAGTCCTTGCCGTGGCTCTGGGCTCCTCCGCTGCCAGCAGAAAACCCAGCTCTGACTTGCCTTTTGTATCCTTTGGGAGTGGGTACTGCTTGAAAATCTCTTCCCCGTTATTTTATCTCAGACCTCATCAGCCTTGAACAAAACTCCTGAACATCAGTTCTCTTGTTTGTCTTACAGGTGTATTTACGGCTCAGTTCGCATCATCCTGACACCTTATCTTCCACCAATTAGTTCCTCCTCCTCATTTGAATGAAATCTCAAGTAGGAGCCCTGCAAAAATTAGCACACACCTCTCTTTTTAACCCTTGTTCCCCTGCTTCTTCATGCTTTTACACACACACATTTCTGTTCTCTCTCTACTCTCACTGGTCTTAATATTTCCATTATGGATCTTGACAAGGTCTATAAGAGGTGAGAGTGATATATCCAGTATCCAATGCCCTGAAATCACACACAGAGCGGTAGGCGTCTTGACAATAGGTTTTATTACAATGAGAAGGAAAATCACATCGGAGGAGGAGGATGGCCCTGCCGGGGGTCTCAGCGGTGCTTGCTGAGCTTTGCCAGGGGAGACAGGAGAGCCCAGGAGGGCCCAGACATTGTCACAGCCCAACTGGGACTGCAGTCACCCCTTCCCTGTGTGTGATCCAGCTTCGAGATGCTCCTGGGCTGGGGAACCCGCAGACATGGGGACCCCGAAGAGAGCCAGGGGAACGGGGAGGGCTCAGGTCCTCGCATCCCCCAGCTCTGCCAGCAGCATCCCATTGCTCCAGGCAGATGTTCAAGGCTTGGCAGCACAGGCAGTGGGTATCACACCCCAGCCAGAGCCCTGGCACCCCTGCCTGGCGATGGGGAGGGCTGGCAGACACGGGGACCTGCCCTCTCTGGGTTATACATCGAGGCTGCCTCCAGCCGACTCAGCTCCCCGATAAGAGGCTGCCAGTGCTGCCGAGGGCCATCACAAGGGCGATTTGGTTCCCGGCTGCCTTATCTCAGCTGAGTCAAACATAGCGATGCCAGAAGCGAAATGTGTGTTGGGGAGCTCTCATTGCCTGCGACCTTCCCGGAGCACCTTTCCCTGCGGCCGGAGGGATGGTGGTTTCAGAGGTCCTGCTGTGTGCACCCAAAGTACCGCCCTGTGAACTTGGGGGTGCTGCAGTCCCCGGGGCTGTCTTGGGACACATCTACCTGCAGCTTGCACCAAGTTGGGTGCCTGTGCCATGCCCCACTGCCATCCAGGGCTCAGACCCCCAGGACAGTTCCTCCTCCCGTGGCAATCTCCTGTGCACTGGGCTGGTGGGGAGTGCCTGGAGCCCAGAGGATCCTGCATCCCCCCCTCCATACCAAACACAACCTTTGGACCAACATGACTTTGCTGGGAAGAGGTGAAGGAGTGTCTGCTGCTCTCCCAGCTCTGGCAACGCCCCGCTGACTGCACAGGCTGGACCAGGGCTGTCCTGAGCAAGGGGGACGTGTCCCTACGTGGGATCGAGAAATACTGACCGGCCACGGTCCCTCCTGGATATGCGGCACTGAGTGCACCCAGAGCCAACCAAACCCTCCGGCCTCCAAACCTGGGCTAAGCAACCCTTAAGTCTACTTTTCCTGATCCTTCTGTAGTAAAAAACAGTTCCAGAAGTTATGTGATAATATCTTAACTGCCTCTCATGCCAGAAGGATGGGTAATGATTTACCAGCTGGGGGGAGCCGTGATTTCCCTTGGCTTGCGGTGACTCCATCCGCTCATCCCAGCAGCTGTCTGAGGCGCTGTTTCTGTCTCCATTCCCAGGAATTTGGCAAACCTGCTGCCACCAGCCTGGGGAAGCCCAGCCAGGGTGGCCCTGGTCCCTGAGTGTAAGGGCAGAGAGGGACAGACCTCTCTGGGTCTACACTGACACTGCCGCGACCAGCCATGGTGCATGGCGGGGTGTCCTGGGCTGGAGAAAGAAGAGATGGATGGGGGTGCCCCAGGTCTGCATCCAGCCTGGAGCTTGTCCCAGTAGGGAACTGGGGTGCAACTGGAGCCAAATGCCAAATGCAAGCTCTGTGACGCTTCCAGGTCCACCACCACAGCTTCTGAGAGCAATGGGACTGTCATGAACATGCTGAGTGGGACAATGTCCATGTGCCATCACAGGGACACATGGCCCCAGGGTCCCACCCATGGTCTGTGGCTCCACCTCAGGGACTCTGTCCCTCAAGGAGCTGTACATACTCCAAGGGGGCTGTGGAGGAGCCCTGGTGCTCCGGAGCTGCAGAAGCCCTTGGCCACCCATCCTCCACAGACCTTGTCCTGGCACAGACAGTGGGACCAGGCTCAGCCCTGCTCCCGCGATGGGCTCAGATCACAGCACCCTACGGACAACGCTCAGCAGGGAATGAGCAGCCACTCCGGCGGGGCTCTGCTCACTGTGAAAGCCGCGCTGGTCCTGCACCCGTTCCTTTAACGCGGGCAGAGGCACCCACTCCCTGCCGTACACCTCGCAGCCAGGAGTGGGGCCAGGAGACATCCCCACCATCAACACCCTTCATCCACCTCCTGGGATCCTGAGCGTTCATCTTCCTCTTAGGAGGATACGTGCATGTGCGAAAGCACTTGAACCAGTTTCGCCAGCACTTTCCTTGGGCAAACAGCTCCCTGGGGTGCTGAAGGCCTGGGGAGGCTGGGGGCAGAGCCACGGGACGGGGATGTGCCCGGGCAGAGGGCATGTGGCACGTGGATGGCTCAAGGAAACTCTGGCTTCAGGAGAGCTCCTCTGTGAGTTGTAGCTCTCCTCCTTCCTGAAGCCTCGCTGGAGCTGCAGGGCTCTGAGCTGCCCTGGCCGAGGGGGACCAGGAATCCCCGTTCTCCCAGCACCATCTTTCCTGGGACCTGTCTGCCATCCCACAGATCCCCACGGCCTGGGCTGGTGGATGAAGGTGATACAGGGGTGGGAGCCAGGAAGCCAGGCTTTGCTGAGAGACATAGTATTATCTATAAATAGTTCAGTTAAAAAATCTGACAAGAGGTAACACGTCTTCAGTTTATGCTGGATATTCCTGAGCCAAGTCACAGGTAATGGCTTAATCATTTTGTTGACAAAATCCTCCCTGCAAAAACTTCGGGCAACAGAAAGCCAGGGCTGGGAGGGGGCACAGCAAGCTGAGGGGGAGACCGAAGGCCTGAGCCCCAGCAGGACCAGGTGAAACGCTCGCTGGAGACCATCTTCCCAAACCTGCATCATGTCCCCAGTGCACGGCACCGCGCACAGCCCCTCCTGCACCCGCGCTGGCTCCCTTCATGGGCTCCCTCCGAGGCCCCTTAATAAGCTGTTAAAAAATGACCTGAGCTTTTACCTTCTGCTGACTGGGCTGAGCACCAGCCCCTTCTCCTTCCACCCGGGCACTCCAGGAGGGAGAAAGCTTGTTTCTCCTCTTGCCCACACCTGCCCCATGGGCAGCACCCCGCACCGCTCCCAGGCGATTCTGCCCCAGCTGGGCTCTGTCGAGGTCCTCGTCCCCGTGCCACATACAGCCCGTCCCTGTGCCACATACAGCCCGTCCCCGTGCCACATACAGCCCGTCCCCCTGCCACATACAGCCTGTCCCCGTGCCACATACAGCCTGTCCCCGTGCCACATACAGCCCGTCCCTGTGCCACATACAGCCTGTCCCTGTGCCACATGGGAGCAGCCGTTCTCCCATGGCTCCCCCTGGGTCCTGGGTGCTGACGAGCCCCAGCCCTGTTTGCCTGCAGAGATGAGCTCTGGTGAGAGCCTAATGAGCTATTTGCTCATAACTGAAGAAGTGACCTAAAGATCTCATTCTTCTGGCTGCAGGTGGGTAAATCTGCTGTTGAGTAGCCTGGCTAGAGTACACGCACATGCCTGTTTGATCTGCTTTTGACACACGTGTCTTTGTCCACGGCCCTCGAGATGACGCCCTGAGACACAGAAGGAAGCTGCCAGGCTGGTGCCACTGCCACCAGTCACCGAGATGACTGGTGTTTGTGAAATGAGATCACCTCCACCACTAACCCAGTGTCACAGGAGAGTCTCTCATTTCCCCACCATTTAATTTCTGCACTGGGAGCTCACCCCAGCTCCGGCCACAGGAGGTGCAGGTGGTGGCTCTGCGCAGGTCCCATGTCTCTGGGTGAGCTGCACCGTGTGCTCCTGCCTCCCATTCCCCTTCCAGGTGCACCTCGGGTCTTGCTGCAACTTGTCCCAGCAGGGACCAGCTCCAGTCCTCTTTTCCAGTCCAATTCCAGCAAGACTGGTGGAGTTGGGGTCATTTAAAGCTGCCTTTGGGATACTGGCAGATAGCACGCCAGACCTTTCCTCCTACCTACCGTCTCTTCCAGGGTGTATCATTACTAAACATGCCCCAGGTGCCCTGACTGTGGCTGTCTTGGTGTCACCTCTCAGCTGTGGGTGCTCTGGGTCAGGGACACGTGCCTGGAGCCAGTCCCTGGGCTGGCCACAGACACCCTCATCCTCTCCCTTCCCTGTGCACAGCAACACCA